CTTTTCACTCTTCTTCCTGAGAAGTTTCAAGATACCACTGTTGGTCGTTTTGATGTAACTTAGGATTTAATTTTTGGCCTATTTCCTCTTTTATCCACTTGTCCCACTCCACAATCCCCATTCAGGCCTTTTTTCTAGTTGGAAACGGTTCAGGGCTGGCTGTGGCCATTTGGTTTTAATTGGAAACTGTTTCTTTAAATTTCAAGGCAATCTGTGCGCATGCATAGTAGAACCCTCCGAGGGTGGGGCTGGGGTGCCTGGTAGCTCAAGCACCCCTATAGTCACCAGAATGGAGGTGCACACACAATAAGGGACCAATGAACAGATACCAAAAGAAAAGAATGTCCACACCTTTATCTCAGCGGTTCTGCCAGGCGTCTGTGGCCACTCCGATTCTTCCCCCACGTGGTCTCACCCAAGATGGCGGCTCCTGGAGCAGCAGAACATCCCGAACTAGAAAGCAATAGATTTCTGGCTTCTTCCACAAATTCCCCCAACTGTGAGCCTTCCAACCTTCTGAGTATTCCTGTACATGTGGTTCACAGTTCTGGGACCATCCCCTGAACCTGCTTGGTCAGGTATTCTGTGTTGTTGTTGGCGGAGCTCTTTACTACACGTCCACCCGATCCGCCATCTTGTTTGTTCTCCTCCCTTTATCTTTAAAATAAGCATTGTTATTAGACATTTGTATTACCTTAACGTGGGATACTCTTTAAGTTTCCAGTTGTCATCACAAGAAGCAGTAATGTGTACGGACCACATCAATATCCAGAAAAGGTACAGGTGACTTTTGCACTTGCAGAGTTTCTTAATAATACTTTTCATTATGTAAAATAATTCCTCTTTAGTTATTTGTCCAAAATAACTTATGTTGTAATTATATATGTTGCATAGACCACCTGCAGATATCACTACAGTTAGAGTTTGAAGACTTGAAGAATAGTCTCACTGGATTTTGATGAGCCCTTTGAGCTCATCTTTAAAGTGGGGAGCAACTGTGAGGATCCAGTGAGATGATGTCTTTGAAAATGCGTGTAACCCTAAAGCACGGCAGAGCACTGCCCCGGCTGCTGTCACAGTACAGATGTGACGCCCACTTTACAGTCCGCCAGTGCGGCATGATGCACAGAAACTGCAAAGCTAGTCAGACAGCAATACAGCAAGTGTGTCTGGAAGTTGTCTTACAATTAACCGGTTTACTGTGCCCAACGCCTTTTGATTGCTTTGGGACTGAGTGTCTTCAGAGTAAATAGAATAAAGTTAAAAGTTTTTAAATGCCTGTGTAGTTGGCACTGTATCTTTAAGCCCAATTTTAGGTAATGGTCACTTGCTCTACCTAAATGTGTAGACTGGACTTTTTATTTCCCAACTGATTGTATAGATCTAATTTCTGAAGCGAAAGAACTGTATCATGATCTACTGGTATTAGTTACTATTTTGCATAATTTATAGAGTCTCTTTAAAAAGGTTGATTATAAATTTAGGAATTTCTTATCTTGCCCTGATTAACAGAATTTTTCTGTAAATCTGAGGGATCTGGAATTCGCTTTTCCTTAATTCCACAAGCACTTACTGGGTTTTTGTTGTTGTTGGTAAGTGTTTCCAAGTCATTTCTGACTCATAGTGACCCTGTACAGGGTTTCCACGGAACAGCTGGTGAGTTTGAACTTCCGACCTTGAAGTTCAAACTGAGCTTGTGGTCCAGTGCTTATCCTGTAGTGTTATACCAGGACTCAACTCCACTTCCTGAGTGAGCACTAATTATAAAGCTGCAAGTAAGTTAGGATTCCTGTGCTTATAAGATCAATAGGCAAGCTTTGTGATGAGAGCAAACTGTCCACAGATTTGTTTTTCTTTCTGAATTTTGACACTGTATTATTTTATCTTAATGTGTACCCAGCAGATGACTAGGTTAGTGAAATAGAAAGATCTTAGAATCCTTAACTTATCAAATATTGTAGTCTTTTTCTTAAATGCCCAATAAAAAGAATGAAAATGTATCCATACATATAATAATAAAGTCATAATATGTCAGGTTCTGTTTCATATTATTGTATGATTTCCCAAAATCTGAAATGACATTTAAATATCCTTTTAGGTTATTCCAAAATTTATATCTTTACTCCAACACAACAGGAAATGGTATGTTATTTACCTTTGTCCCATATGCTTTTCTAGTATGTTGGTAGTATTTGGTGATAGTCTTTCTTGAAAATAGAAAATCATAGAAGAGAGTAAAATTAGATGTACTGCCAAATATAAGAGCTCTTTCTACATCCACTGTCCCAGCTTTTTAAAATAATAAATTTAACTCGAAATGTGTCTTTTTGATGTCCTTACCTTAAATAATTTCTACTCTTAAATCATCTATCATAGAATTTTGAATGATAGCATCAAAATTTGTCATCTGTTTTTAAAGAATTTTATTTTTTTGAAGGATTTAATTTATGTAACTGTAAATATTCTAAATGAATTTCTGGCGTAAAATTAAGAATAAATACATCTCAGGGATCACTTATGCATTTGCTGCCTCTGGAATTGTGCCCAGTTTTTGCTTTTCCCTAGGTTTGATTCCATTTCATCTTTATAGCTGTATTCATGGATCAGGACTTCAAACAAGAAATTTCCTTTATGCTACTGATGTAGTAGAAGCATTTCTCACTGTCCTCAAAAAAGGGAAACCAGGAGAAATTTATAATATTGGAACCAATTTTGAAATGTCAGTTGTACAGCTTGCTAAAGAACTAATACAACTGGTATGTATATATTTTAAAACAGTTAATATTTTATAAGTTATCACTAAATTTGTTGTTAAGTGCCATAGAGTCAGTACCAACTCATAGCAACCCTGCATGGGTTTCCGAGGAGCAGCTGGTGAGCTTGAACTGGCGACCTTGCGGTTCAAACTGATGTTGAAGTTCACCACATTAACCCACAGCACCACACCATCACAAATTTAAAGTCTAAAAACAAGAGGCTTCAAAATGTGTAGACATATGGAATGAAAGATAATGTAGTTTTTCCAAGAACTTTTTGATGCCTCCTCTCATACTAATTGGAAGGCATACTTAAATTTCAGAAATATAAAATTGTGTGTCTTAGAATCAAAGAACATATATGTATCAAGAAGCGTGATGTATAAAGTGGTTATGTATCTGACTAATAGCAACCACGCATACATAGCCTTTCTGAGGCTTTAAACCTTTGTGGGAGCAGAAAGCCTTATCATTATCTTATGGAGCAGCTGGTGGACACAAACTGCTGACCTTGTGGATTGCAGTCCAGTGCTTACAGTATGGCGTCACCCCACCACACACACTTATATATCATGTTTGCATGGTAGTAGGTATAGGTACGTATTAGTTAATTCATTAGAAAGAGTGACTGAGTAAATAACCAAAAGTCAAAAATATTTCACACATTTTATGAACCCTGGGAGATAGGAGTTAGAGTTATAAAATACATAAAGTTTGCTAAAATGTTACATTTAGCTGTTTCCCCACCCTTAAGGAAGTTGGTTTTTGTTTTTTGTTTTTAATCTTAATCACCTATTAAATACTATCATTCTCTACTCTCATTTTATAATTTGACTCAAAAACCTACTCCATTTTGACAGATCAAAGAAACCAATTCAGAGTCTGAAATGGAAAACTGGGTTGATTATGTTAATGATAGGTGAGTAACAAACATCTGGGAAAGATTGTGAAATCTTAAGTACTTATAAAATTATAAAATAAATGGACTTAAAACTAGTTTATCCCTTTTGAGTTTTCTGTTAAAAATGTATTTTCCCTATTTATAAATGTATTACAAAATTAACTGTTGACCCATTACTTATTAGTGACGTAACTCAAAGAAAGTTATTGATCCCTTCCAAATCTGAGGTTTCCTCTGGTTATGAATTAGGAATGATACTATTTTCCAGAAGTATTTTAAGGCTTAATTATGGTGTATGAAATAAAATATCTGACCTAGGGCCTGGCACATAAGACTCGTAGTAAATTTATATATCTTCATTTGCCAAACATTTAGTGAGTCTCTTCTGTGTGCCAGGCCCTATAAATATACCTCGATTATGGCTGAAATAAGGATAAATGACAGAAGGGGTTAGGCATCTGGGGGTCTCAGTAATTTGTTATATGTATACTTCTTTTATTTTTCAAGTTTTCTACCATGAGCATGTCATTAGGGCTTTTTTTTTTCTTTATTTTTAAGAAAAAGATTAGAATTATGGTAAAGATGTAAGGACACAATTATTTTTTATTTTAATTTGTAAATCTATTTTCACAATATCATTTTAAGTCTGCTTTATTTTGCAAGACCTACAAATGACATGAGGTACCCAATGAAGTCAGAAAAAATGCATGGCTTAGGATGGAGACCGAAAGTGCCATGGAAAGAAGGAATAAAGAAAACAAGTATGTTTTGAATTGATACCTTTTTTGGGGGGAGGGAGGTGATTTCAGAAAAATTTAAAGAAACGGTGATTTATTTTTAGAGTACAAATATTATGATGAGCCATTGTTACTTTTCAGATTAACATTCTACTTCTAGTTGTAGTAATGTTTCTAAAACAGCTATAATTTCAGACTAATTTCTGATACATCTTGCTATATCTTATTGTTGCCTTTGAGTTGGTTCTGACTCATAGCGACCCTGTGTAAGGTTTCCAAGAAGCAGCTGGTGGGTTTGAACGGCCAGCCTTATGGTTAGCTATCCAGCGCTGATCCTACAGCGCCACACCAGGAGTCCTTCTCAAATGCCTATTCATAGATTCATCACAGGCACTGAGAGAGGATGATGGGCGTATCCTTCCGTTACACACAGCAGCTCATATCCTGCACGTTGCTAAACCATCAGCAAAGGACTTTTTAGGTAAAAATTACTGACTGCTTAAAAATTACCTTTGAATTAATTGCATTTAAAAACTCAATACAAGTGTTTCAAATTTTGAACCATTTTCCACAGCCCTGAAAGTTATGTTAATTTTACAGTCACTGGTTGGTGTCTTTTAATTATTGGCAGTTTTTTTATCTCCTTTTTTAGTGGTATGTAGAATAATGGCCCATCTTAAAATCAGCGACCTCTTAGATTTGTTAAAATATGTACAGTTATAGTCTTTGAGTGTCGGGGTTTTTTGTATTGAAACAAATAGGAAACATTATGTGTAGAGAAACCTATTAAAATAAATATGTAAACTGTGTGTGTATATGTTAAAATTTTAGTTAGAAATGTTCTCATGAGAAAATTTTCTACCAAATGTTGAAAACAGGTTCAGACCTTAAAAATACTTCTACTGAGTTTTCAAATGCAATTCAAAGATAATTTTTAAGGGGTCTGTAATTTTTAACTAAAAAATCCTTTACTGATGGTTTTGCAACATACAGGAATGAGCTGATGTGTGTAATGAAAAGACCCACCCATCTCACTGTACCTCTGATACATACAGGGTTACCATATTGGCATGAACAAAATCATAGGAGTTTTTCCTATAAACTGCCTTAAAAAGCAATGTTAATACTATCATGCAAATGACCCATGCCCCCTAATTCCTTAACATCTCAGTTTATCTTAAACATTTATACCAGTAAATCTAATACTTTAATGTTTAAGAGAAAAAGGTTGATTTTTTTTCTTTTCAAGTCTTAATCTTTCAGGTGATAAAATGGCTTCTGATTAACTTCATTGTTTAGATCAAAATCATTTTTTTTTCCCATTAGCCTTTAGTCTGTTGACTAACTGATGGGCAGACCCATCGATGCAACATAAGCTCCTTTACTAGGAATGCAGCAACTGTTAGCCAGCTGTCGTTAGTTTTCATGGTTTCTCTGTGTTTTTCCCCCTATTAGTCGATTGGTATCAAGAGAATTTTCACAACTGGAAGAATGCGGAAAAGGCGCTAGAACCCTTCCCAGTACAATCAACGTTTGTGTAGTCAGGACAGTTTTTGGAGAAAAAAGAAAATTATCCTACCTCAACAAGTGATACGAAATCAAGTGACCAAATATATCCTCTTGTGATTTGAAATCACATTCATGACTAATTGTATAAAATTCAAATACAGAGTCCTTCTTTATTTGGAAGATTCAGTACTGGCACAGGATTTAAATATGAAACTTCTTCCAGAAATCTTTTCTTCTGAAAATAAGGAACCAGTAGAAAGAGGAAGACGACTTGGGTTGGGAGTGGAGACTCTCCTTGGTCTGAGACTGCAGACAGGTGACTACACTGGGAAGATGGCAGCCTTTTTTGGGATTGAACTCAGTGAGCTTCCAAGCCTTTCCCACTGCCTAGAAATTTCTATACGTTTACAGTTTTAGGCAGTCTAGGATGAGGTTTCTACCCAATTCACCTTTCTTTATTTTTAAGTCATGTTGTATTATAATTGCTTTAAAATGGAGCGAAATGGAAGCATATCTAGCACTTTTTAACTTTGATATTTTTATAAAATTAACTTTTTAAAAGATGAATGTAAAATTTTTATATTTTCAAAATCATTGTTTGTAATATATATGTTGTTGTTATTGTTAAGTGCAGTCGAATCTATTCCGACCCATAGGGACCCTGTATAGGGTTTCCAAGGAACAGCTGATGAGCTGGAACTGCTGACCTTGCAGTTCAAATGGCTTGGCAGTCTGGCGCATTAACCCACAGCGCCGCACCAGGACCCCGCAATATATATATATAAGTAATCTTGTATCAGAGAAGTCTCATCATGTATTTACTGTTTAAAATTTTATTTATGAAATTGTCAGTATTTAATGTATTGTGTAGCTTTTTTTAGTAATAATGTATGTTCTGCTTATTATGATGTAGAACAATAAAATACTTGAATCCTTACCTTTTTACTCCTCTTTGCTTTAAAGAGTAACTTTAAAATGGAACCAAGTAAGTATTGAGCTAAGAAATGGGAAGACATCAAGGATTATGGCCAGCTGGCTGGCCTTCGTACATGGGTGAGGCCCTATGTCTTCTGAAGGAGGCAGAAAAGTCACTAACAAGTTAGAAGAAGCAGCAGTCCCTCCCACACCCGCAGAACTCAGACCCATAATTACAGGGTTTACTAGGGAAGTGAACAGGTTCCTATTCAGGGTCAGAAAAATCTCAGATAGAGCATCCTTCTTTGAGTCTTCTCAGCCATGCCTACAGGCAGGCCTCTGTCTGGTCCTTGGACTCTCAGCCCTGGGCCCTTGGCCTCTGCCATGCTTTACTGGTGTTACAGAGCTCTTTTAGAACTGCCAGTAAATGCCCAAAGACACTCCACTCTGCCGTAAATCTCAGCCCAAAGACACTGGCATCTGGCTCGTGGGTCAGCAAACCTCACCCCCCAGTGAAGTGCCAGAAGGCCTCTACTGCAAGTAAGCCTCCTGCCCAAAGGTCCTTAGCTTTCCTGGTCCGAGGACTGGGAAGTCCATGGCTCTGTCTGGTCTTCTGGCTCTTAGTTCTGCTGCTCCTCAACCAGTGGCCTACAGTCCAGTGCTTATTGTATGGTCCTCTGATATCATTGCTCTGTCTCCTGGGTCAAGGATGTTCAAGGCACAGGAATCTTAGGGTCCAAACAAAGCACTCCACTCCTGTCTCTTCAATCTTTATGGTAGTAACATCCCACCCCCTCTGCTTCTGAGATGGCTTAGGTTATACCCAGAATAATGACAAAACTGACCAATCAGAATTAGCCCTGTTAACCATCCCCCACAACTGAATCATAATCCATCAGCATCTTCCTCCACTCTATCTTACCCAGATTCATCAAGAAAAAAAATCATTTGTTGCAAGTTTATAAAGACTATGACTCGGAACCAACTCAACAACACTTAGCAACATGACTAGAAGAGACATTAAGTAACTCACTGTACCACTGAGTAGAATCAGTTTGAAATGGGGGGCTTTTCTCTGACAGTGTTCAGTACCGTTGGATGTGGTTGAAGAAAATGTAGATCGATAGGGCCAAAGTTGGACAGAAGGGTAAGAGTTGAAAGTGAGACAATCATTAAAATGATGCTTCATGGATCTTGGCTATGGAAGAAGAAAATGATTCTAGAAGGGAGCCTATAGCTCCAGAGAAAGGGAGGAAGAGGGAGGTAGAATATGGAGCAAAGGTAATTGCCCAGTTGGCCTAGGAAGTTGCAGGCAAAATGTGAGACCAACTAACAATTAGCTTCCAGCCTAGGGACTGAACTTGTGTCCTAGTGGTCATAGTCTTTTATTCTGTGTTGATAAAAGGTCTTTGGAAGTCCTTAAATTTCTTAAGATTGGAGCTTGTTTGAGACAAACCTTTCCATATTATTGACTCTCAACAATAATTTAAATGAAGGTGTTTTTAAGTGTCATCGAGACAGTTCTGACTCACAGCCACCCTGTGCACAACAGAACGAAACACTGCCCAGTCCTGTGCCAGCCTCACAATTGTTATGTTTGAGCCCATTGCTCTTGTCACTGTGCCAGTCCTTCTTAGTGGGGGTCTTCCTCTTTTCCACTAAGCCTCCACGTTATCAAGCATGATGTCCTCCATGGGCTGGTCCCTCCTGACAACATGTCCAAAGTATGAGAGACAAAGTCTTGCCATCCTGGCTTCTAAGGAGCATTCTGACTGGACTTCTTCCAACACAGATTTCTTGGTTCTTCTGGAATTCCATGAAACATACAACTCAAATACATCCATTCTTCTACGGTCTTCCTTATTCATTGCCCAACTTTCATATGCATTGGAGGCTATCTAAAATACCTTAGTCCTCAAACTGTTATCTTTGCTCTTTTAACTATTTAAAAGTGACTATCCTAAACAAAATACCTGACACCTATAGGAAGAGAGGAGTCCTGGTGTGGCACTGTGGGTTAATGCGCTAGACTGCAAAGTC